CAGCTGTCTGGAATGTGGATTTTTAAAGATCTGAGCTGGTCTGCTTCAGCTTAGTGCTAACACAACTTTTCAGATGATTGTTCTGTACTAAGTTAGCATAGCCAGAGGCACACTGTGAGGGACACTTACGTGATAGCTGCTGCTACAACAGCATCATTAGGGACAAATAATTAGTAATAATACTTATTTAAGAGAATAGTGTTTCTTTAATATAATTTATTTTATCAGCAATTATATGTTGTTTTTAGCAAAACCAAAGTGCCTCTCCTACAAATCTAGCCATATAAACAGGAGCGTGTCACATGTCAGCCTTCAGTTTATTTTATTTTTTTCATCCTGTTCTACACAAGGTCCACAGCTACACATAAATTATTCTTCATGCAAAACAAAAATAAAAAAGGGAAAAGGAAAACTGGGCTATGCACCACTTAATTATGAAACTGGTATAATCAAACCTATCATCTGTATCTTCCTAGAACTGAATTTTGCTGGATTGTTCTGTACTGTTTGGGAGACATCTTTTCATCACTGAAAAACATCAAAGGGCCTTAAGGCTTTGGGGTTATTGTTCAGGACAGACTTCCAAGATCTTTCATCAACTATTAAAACTGGATTAGCACCAACAACTCATTTTACACTTACTTTATGGCCAATAGAAGCACCAAACATGTATTCACTGAGCATGAAATGTGGATATGCATTTCAGATTACCAAACATGTAACAATGTCTTCCAGATTGTCAGCAGTAATGTTCCCTGTAAAGATCCAAATGGGCTGGGCTTCACACATGTAAGAACTAAAATATAGGCAATGTGGTGTCCATAGGCCATAACCCCCCCCCAAAGAGAGACATGTTAAATGCCTTTTATGGCAAGCAATTTAGAAAAAGTAAGTAGAGCATATGGCAAGCCTACTCACGCTTTTCATGCAGGCAACTTGTTGGAGAAGTGCGTGACACAGTCTCTCTATTCTGATACTCAAGCGAGGGAGGAGGCTAGGACTGCACAGGCTGCTCTTGCCATCTCTTCCCCAAAGCTGCTCATGCAGCTCCATGGCAGACCAAGGGCAAACTATGGATAGCAAAATCTCACCTGAGACAACTTAACATCTTCAGCCCAATCCAACCCCCTTCAGAGTGGTTGAACCCACTAATGACGCTTCTCCAATATGGCTCTTTGGGCATAAACACTGCAACTCTGGAGGGTTTGTTTTAGATAGTACAAAAATCAAACAGAATGATTAGAACCTTAGTTTGGAAAGTATGATCTTGGAACTTCTATTTTCTCAAGACAGCGTGAAAAGTTACAAGAGGGCGCCTCATTGCTATCGCCTTAGAAAATTACTTGATCTTCTGTTTATTTGCTTTCCGCAGGTTCATTTAATCTTAAGTGCTATCAAATGTTTATTTCTTTGTGGTTTTGTAAAACAACAAGAAGATAATCTTTAAGAAGAGGAATATAAACCTTTCAAGTACCAAGCTGTTAGATCAAAGCAAAGCTTCTGGCAAGAGCTTGTTTGCATGTTAATTAACACGAACAACTTCAGCTTTGCAAGAATCTAGCAACATAACTGTGTGGCAAACGTGTGTTTTACTGCATTGCTTCAGGAGCAAATTTAAAGCCAGCAGATGCTTTATACACCCTGAGTGATTCTGCTTAGAAGAAAGTATATTTTAATAGACAGGTGAGACATCTTTCAGTTTTTTTATTTTTTAAAAAAACACTCTCATGGATTGGCTACCAACGCTGACACCCACTTAAGAACCCACATAGTGTAGATTTTAAAACAATGTGGCCAATATTTGGTCTAATGACTTCCATGGTTCCAAAGAACATTCCTGCATTGATAAGGCAACAACACAAACAATATATGGGGAAGATACAAGACCGCAAGAACCTCCACCAATAACAGCCCACAGGACTATGTAATAATATACTTTTCCACAGCAGCACCAAGCTCTGGTGTGCCGATAGGCATCCATTAGCAAAATTGCTTCCCCCAATGGATGAAGAAATATGCAGAGAGAGGCAGCACTGTTCCCCCTAGAATTTTAAAAAAGATTCCAGTAAAATCAGTGCAATAACAATCAGGCCCTACTGCTCTGAAACTCCCAGACAAAAATCTGCTGCTGGGATTTGTCTGTGGTTCTTCCACAGGCCTGCTGTAAGCCAGCAAGCAAGAGCCCCTGGCCAAGCTCCCAGGCACTGGGGAAGCTGCCAGCAGAGCTGCTAGCAACAAAAAAACCAAGAAACTGCTAGCTAATTTGCACAGAACAGCCCTCACAAAAGAGATAAACCCAGCAACCTTCAGTTCACCAGCAGCTTCTATACTTGTATCCTAAGATCATCTTAAGCCAGAGGTTTTTGTCTCCATGGCTCCCTTGACTACATTCTTTCTGTGGCACCCTTGTGGGGCTCAGGAGCCCAGTTATGTCACCCATTGCCTGCAGAGCTATCAGCCTCTCACCCTTTTTCGAACTCTCTTGTGGAATGTTCCCTCAGCCTCCTTTCCCCTCTCCTTGGGAGTCCTGCAGGCAGCCACTGTTCCTCCTGCCCCAGAGAGAGGTGCCTCTTCACACTGCCCACAGGGGCCTGGGGCTTGTCTGTCCATTCCCAACAGCAAGGGCTGGGCTCCCTTTCCTGTTTGCTTGCTTGCTTGCTTGCTTACTTCAAGGCCACCTCAGTTCCTGGCAACCAGCATCCCCTGGCCAGCCCCAGAGGCACCATTCGCCTGGGGAGCTTGTAGCCAGGGCTGCTGCAACAAAGAGCTGGGCAAGCCTTTGGGAGGTGGAGACACGAGAAGGCATCAGAGGAGGGAGTGAAGAAAAGAGGGACAGAGACCAGTGTTGCCCGCGACACACCTGACCATCATTCAAGGCACCCCAGGGTGCCATGGCACACTGGTTAAAAACCACTCGCTTAAGCCATGGATTATTATGTGGTTCTGGTGGCAAGACATATTTACTTGTTTCAGTATTTATTTATTTATTTTTTTTAAAAAATTTTTTATTAAGGTTTTAGACAATAAAAAAGAGAAAAAAAACATACACAATACATATAGCAACAACACACACAAAAAGCAACACAAAATTCAACAACAAAAAAAACAAAAAAAACCATAACAATTAAAAACAATATCTCTTTTCCATTTCCATTTTTAAATTACTTACTTTCTGGACTTCCTCATACCTCCCTCTTTTGTATTCCAATCCAAGTTATTTGTCCAGCAGTTTCTTTTCCACTCTTTTAATCCCAAACTTTAATTTAATAAAATATTAAAATATATAACTTCAACTTCTTTAAACCCAATCCTTGGTCTTAGTATCATATAACATTATAGTTTTCCCTCTTAATATCAAATTTCCATTTCTTTAAACATCTTTAATCTTAATCTTAATCTTAGTCTATCATTAACTTTAACCTGTACAGCTGGAAACCACTTATTTTCAATCCAACATCGCTCTAACATTCTTTAATTTTGCAGTGTTTCTGAAGATAGTCTTTGAATTTCTTCCAATCTTCCTCCATCGACTCTTCTCCCTGGTCACGGATTCTACCAGTCATTTCCGCCAATTCCATATAGTCCATAAGTTTCATCTGCCATTCCTCCAGTGTGGGAAGTTCTTGTGTCTTCCAATACTTTGCGATGAGTATTCTTGCTGCTGTTGTTGCATACATAAAGAAAGTTCTATCCTTTTATAACACCATTTGGCCGACCATACCCAGGATAAAGGCCTCTGGTTTCTTAGGGAAGGTATACTTAAATACCTTTTTAATTCATTATATATCATTTCCCAGAAAGCCTTAATCTTTGGGCACGTCCACCAAAGGTGGAAAAATGTACCTTCAGTTTCTTTACATTTCCAACATTTGTTATCGGGCAAATGATAGATTTTCGCAAGCTTGACTGGGGTTATGTACCACCTGTATATCATTTTCATAATATTCTCTCTTAAGGCATTACATGCCGTAAATTTCATACCTGTGGTCCATAACTGTTCCCAGTCAGCAAACATAATATTATGACCAACGTCCTGTGCCCATTTAATCATAGCCGATTTTACCGTTTCATCCTGAGTATTCCATTTCAGCAGCAAGTTATACATTCTTGACAAATTCTTAGTTTTGGGTTCTAACAATTCTGTTTCCAATTTGGATCTTTCCACCTGGAAGCCAATTTTCCTGTCCAATTTAAATACCTCCATTATTTGATAATAATGAAGCCAGTCTCGCACTTTGTCTTTTAGTTTTTCAAAACTCTGCAATTTCAGTCTATCTCCGTCTTGTTCCAAAATTTCCCAATATTTCGGCCATTTGACCTCCATATTGACCTTTTTCAAGGCTTACTTGTTTCAGTATTTATTCCAGAAGCCATATCCTTTGATTTTAGGCTGCAATCTTACAATGTGACTTCTGAGCAGATATGTATAGGATTGTACTGATGCAAACCTATCAATACAGTGGTACCTCGGGTTACATACGCTTCAGGTTACATACGCTTCAGGTTACAGACTCCGCTATCCCAGAAATAGTACCTCGGGTTAAGAACTTTGCTTCAGGATGAGAACAGAAATCGTGCTCCAGCGGCGCGGTGTCAGCAGGAGGCCCCATTAGCTAAAGTGGTACCTCAGGTTAAGAACAGTTTCAGGTTAAGAACAGACTTCCAGAACAAATTAAGTTCTTAACCCGAGATACTACTGTACATGTTTTTGCCGCCTTCAAAAAAGCACATTATAATATTGTTTGTCACCTTGTGAGGGTGCAGCTCTAAAAAGTGGCTTAAAAATATATTTTTTAAAAAATTAAATTTTTGTTTGTTGCATATTGGTCAATAAAACCCTATGCATGCCTATCAAAAGTAAAAGTTACTTGCAGGTAAGTATGTATAGGAGTGATGGGGAACCTGTGGCCTTACAGATAGAATAACAGAACTGTAGAGTTGGAAAGGGTCCCTGAGTCATCTAGTCCAACCCCCTGCAATGCAGGAATCCTGCCCACAGCCGTCCCTGGGTAGGCTCAAACCACCAGCCTTTTGATTAACAGCCAGATGCACTGACCCATTGCACCACCTCAAGACAGGGAAAGACATGCTGTGGATGTGGAAGAGCAAAATTCACATGCAAAAGGTCTCAGGTTCTGTTCTTCGATGTAGCTTTGGGAGAGTTCCCTGCCTAAAACCTGAGGCAGCTGCTGTCAGTCAGTGAAGATAGTATTGTGCTAGGTGGAGTAATAATCCAGCTCTGTATGAGGCAGTTCTCTGTTACTGGACTCCCAACTCTGATCAGACGTGACCATTGGCTGCGACCACCAACATCTGGAAGGTTTGCAGACTTACCATCCCCAAGTTACAGGATTCCCGCCTAGCGGAAGCACCCATATTAAGAGCTGTAAAGCAGCAAGTGTAATCCTGATGACAAGACAGCAGGGCCAGATTTAGGTTTGATAAGGCCCTAAGCTACTGAAGGTAATGGGGCCCTTTATATGTCCAGCTGTCCTTTGTCAACAACAAATTGTTGCTGTTTTTGTGTTGAGTATATGCTATATGGTCATTTATGGACCTAATAGGTATCTAAAGCCATTTTATTTGTTTTTTATCTTATATTTTGGAAATGTACATCCAGCTGTTTTTTTCTTTAATTTTTTTTGGGGCCCCCAAGAGTGTGGGGCCCTAAGCTATAGCTTGTTTGGCTTATACGTAAATCTGACACTGATCAAGAGCACTTTGCATTTATATCTCAGCTTTTTCTTCAAGGTGGTGTGCGCAGTTCTTCCCGCCCGCGCACCCGGTGCTCATATAATCCCCCCAACTACCACTCTGTGAGGTAGGTGAGTCAAGTCCACAAGCAAGCGGAGAAAAAGTGCCCCGTGCGAGGGGTTCCCTTAAATCTATTACGGCATATATCTGTCCACAGACAAATATATGCCGTCTCCAAAGGGCAGGCCACGTCACCAAGCCCTTACACGAATCTTCTAACAGCGTTGCGCTGGGGAGGGGGGGAGCAGGGGGCGTGGTCTCGGGACGCCGACCCTCTAAGCGAGAGAGGACTCTGCTCGGGCTGCATCCGCCGTGCGCGAGGGAGGCGCTTCCTCTCGTGAGGGGAGCGAGAAGAAGGGAGGCGGGGCCGTGCAGGCGGATTGGCTCGGCGGCGGCCGTGACGTCACCCTGCGCGCGGCGGCAGATTCGAAACTCCTCGGGCACAGGCGCGGCTGGAGCAGGAAGGCCGCTCTGCTTGAGAGAAAAGAGAGGGAGCCGCCGCCGCCGCCGGGATGAAGAACACCGTTCCGCGGAGCACCGTGAAGAAGCTGCTGAGCAAGCACAAGCCGCACTTGCGCATGCGCGCCAACACCGACCTGCTGGTGAGGGGGGACGGGGAGCGAAGGCGGTGCGTGGGGAAGGGGAGGCCGCAAGAAGCCCAGTGGCCTGTCTCCAACGGAGGTCGGTCGGATACTCCCAGGAAAGCCTCCACAGGCGCTTGCCCAAACCGCTTGCCCGCCTTCCCCACCCCCACGCCGCTCACTAGCTTGCTTATACCTGAAGGGTCCTTAGCGCCTCGCCGGTCGCTCTCCAGGATCAGGGACAGGCCTTGGCAGATCCCGGCGCCCCGTGAAAGGAAGCGGGTGTGTCTAGGGGACTCCGGTTATCCGCAGCTGGTGTTGCGGATTTCGTGTCGGGTGCTCCCACCCGTCGCCGTATGTGATGGCGCTTTCGCTAGTGCTGTGACGTGCCATAGGAGATAGAGTCATAAAATTGTAAGAGTTGGAAGGGACGCCAAGGGTCATCTAGTCCAACCCCCCGTGGCTCAGGAAGGGGTGTTTAGGGTGCCACCCAAGCTGTTTGGCCAAGGTTTTAGAACTCACGCCCATGAATTGTACAGTACAGTGGTACATCGGGTTACGTATGCTTCAGGTTACATACGCTTCAGGTTACAGACTCCGCTAACCCAGAAATAGTACCTCGGGTTAAGAACTTTGCTTCAGGATGAGAACAGAAATTACATGGTTGTGGCGCAGCGGCGGCAGTGGGAGGCCCCATTAGCTAAAGTGGTGCTTCAGGTTAAGCACAGTTTCAGGTTAAGAATAGACCTCCGGAACGAATTAAGTTCTTAACCCGAAGTACCACTGTGGTAGTATTATCTACCTTTCTTCGTTGTTTCCTCCACTCCCCTGTTTGCAGCAACCATCCGACACCAGTTTTTCAAAAGTTGTGTGAAACAGCCATCACGTTTTCAGTGTGAGTGTGCTATGAGGAGATATGTGGATGTTGACAGCACAGAAGTCAAGTAATATATTTGCATCCTTAGTGTAAGATTTAAGGAACATTAGTTTGTGTGGAGTGCTTCATTAATCAACAGGTAGTGGCTTTTAAGCATTTCTTTGGAAATAACACTGCACTCTTCTTTTAAAGGTACATTTGAATGTCTTACTGTTTCTCCATCGACTAGCTGTAGAAACCAGGACCAATGCTATTGCAGAAAAGAGCAAAACTATTAAATCTCGACATGTTCGCTCTTCAGCAAAGGTAATTGCAGTTTAACAGCTGAAATTCTTTATTGAATCTAAGTATTTAAACACTGTAAACACCTCACACATTAATACTAAATATCAATACTGATTTAATCAAATGGAAAGCAGAGCAATATGTTTGGTACCAGCTTGGCTGCATTAGCTGCCAGAAGGAGGCTTACAAGGCGTCATCCAACTGTCTTAGGGACTCCACTCTGGATTTGTGTAGGGTTTACTCCTTAGCCTTTTCTTCTCCTTAAGATATTCCACAAGGCAGGGGAGGTTTAGGTTCAGAGTTTTCCTTCTCATAGATGGGCTACCTTCCCAGGTTGACAAGCCCCATCTGTCCCTCGCTTCCTTCTACAAAACGTGCAGAAACTGCCTTCTTGACCATTGGAACCACGAGTAATCTTGTCTGCTCAATCTACCAGAGTCTGTCTTCTCATGCAGGGGAATTCCCTCACTTACTGAGGGTTTGAGACCCATCGGCTACCCTCATCTGGTTCAACCGGCCATTTGAAGCTGTTCCTGGGGTGTGGCTGCTGTCGCATGCTGACAGCTTCTAGGAGTCACAGTTGAGAGCTGAGTGCAGGGTGGGGACCAAAGGTGGACAAAGTACCCTAGAAGGAGCATACATATTATTATTACTCATAACTTTAAATATTCACATCATAAACTTTTATTATTAGAGAGGAGAGATAGTTATGAGTTTCTCTAGAGGAGCTGAGGCTGTCATTACACATCGGACTGTACTGACTATTTTTTAAGTTAACACATATTCTTTTCTCAAAGTTGTACATAAAAGTACAAAGTGCCTTATTATACAGTGAAGGGGGGGGGATTTCTTTTAACAGAACTTAAGAGCCAGACAGATTTTCAAGGAGTCTGCTAAGAGGGAGTAAGCATACTAGTAAAAGAGGGGATCTTTATTGGTATACTGTATTTTTCAACAGTTTTTCTCTCCATTCCCAATACGTTTTGCTTAATTTCTACCCAGACAGCCTTAAAATACCTTCTGGTTTGGAAGCCCTTGCCCACAGTCTTTTAAGATCTGTGGTTGGCTGGTTGTAATTAGTCACTAGTTGGAGGAAAGGACTCTGCATGCATAAGCTGGAGGGTACGCAGACCAACCTGATAACCAGCTATAGTGGTGCTCCAGTGTCAAGCTACCTTGGATGTTGTCATGATGTAACTTTCTCTATTGCACAGCACAAGTTGGTGCTGAGTGAAGGTTATGTGACAACCCTATCTCTGATAAATTGGAGATAAGAATACTGCTAATGGGATATATGGCTAGGCTGGAAAGGAAGGAGATGCTAAAGAAGCAAGAGTAGGCAGCAGCCGCCAGGCTCTGTCCTTTGCAGTGGCAGTGCCTGGAGCATTAGAAGGGTGCAGGTTCCTGCAAATTGAGTTACTTTGCAAGGACATAGGCATGAGGCAGCTAGCAGCACAGACTGAAGGCTTTCTCTGCTTCAGACTTCTAAGTTTCACTCTCCAGGCTAATTTTTAAATTGTTAGCAGTACTAGATAGCTTCTAGTGAGGACTACTAGCTGCACATCTCTGGAAAGGTAAAAATGTGGGAGGACTGTGGGAGGAGTTCCTGACAAAAAGCTGCTACTTGCATGATCTCTGAAGCTGCTATTTGTATTTCAAGAAAAACCTCCTGAAAGGGTGTGACACAATGCTATTTTACCTGCTGAAAGATTTCCAGTGACTGCCTGAGCAGGAGAGCAAAAGCTCTGTCCACCGACCTTCTGAATAAGTCACTTTGCTCTTGTCATAGGAGAAGGGTTAGCCTGACCATGTCTTGGGAGGCTTATATATATTATTATTGCTGTTTGTGTCTTTTTCAGAGAGCTTGTTTTATAAAGTTGAAGTTTTCAGAATCTATTGGGCAGTTGTGCAACATATAATTTTGATTGAATTGCTCCCAAGTCATTGAATAATACTGTGAAAAAGTCTTGAAAAACCCGCATCTATGTATGCATATGCAAAGTTATAGCCGTCCTATCTGAAATATGCACCATGTTAAGAAAAGGAACAAAGCAGAGAACACGGGCTGCCTCTGATTCTGACAGACAAAACTCTGGCTTACAGCAGCTGTAGTAAGATCATTTAATTTTTCTAGTCGTGTACCCACCCCTTCTTTTTTGTTTCGGGGCAGGGAAGATTTGCAGGCAGCGGAGAGGGGACCAACTTTGCTGATGGCAGATGAAAACTCACAAGGAGGCTCATTAAGTGCTCTTCCCCAAAAGGGAATTTTAGATAGGGTGTCATCATAGGGAAGCCCTATCAACCATTTAGTTTATTGATGCAAATCAGTTAAGTTGACTTTGTAGCAGTTTAGAAAAATGTGATATTCCAATTTTTTTTAAAAGCCCTTTGATCTAATGCATCTCATGTTAAGTATTGGTCTACCTTTATTTGAAATAACAGCTTTATATATCTGAAGGTACTGTATTTTGTTCCCCCCTCAGATTGTTTTAAAGAAGAGCCGAGGCTAAAGTCAAGAAGTATTCCTTCATCCCCTGATTGACTCTGCGTAATTACTATTGTACATGTGCTGAGGTTAAAATATCTGAATTTTGTATTTCTGTTTTTCATATTCATATTTTTTCATATTTTTCAGTAGATAGATAGCCAAAGCTGATGCCATTGTTATTTGCAGGAGCTTGCTATTTATTTTTTAATTAGGGCAATGTAATAAAACTGATGTGTATAATTAATAGAATAGACTAATGCAAGTTTTAACCTTGTAATGTGTTTACTTGTTTATGATGATTAAGCAAGATGCCTTCTATGAGACTATGGCAAATGTTAGAAGCCACTTTTAATTCTCTATATAAAGTTACTTCTAGAAAAACAAAATATTTCTCTTTCCTTCTCTGAATGAATATTTATCAACAGGGTTGCTGTAAATATGCATCTTTTCACTTGTTTATAAACCTTTTTGGTTTTTGAGATTATTTTAAGTAACATCGCAAATAAAATATTACGGTTAAGCAAATGTTTGATGTAGGGGATTCAACCTGGGAAGCAGAACATTTACAAAACAGTTTGTAAACAGAATATGAAAACAAATGTTTCAGAACGATTTATAGCAATAAAGCTCTGCATGACTTCCCTCACTTGTTCGTTTCACATGCTTTTCACTGTATAACAGAGTAAAAGGAGAGGTGTTTTAGACATGGTAAATCCTGTTTGGGCCGGTTGCAGCAGCAGTTCCTAGGAAAGGACAGACACTGATATATTCTTTCTCTTCCTTTACTGAAATGGCTCCTGGTGTTGGAGATGGCTAAAGGAATGGAAAACCCTGAAGTGTTCCCCTCACCCTCCTGTATTCATTTTTGGAAGAAGTAGCAAGTCTGTCATCTCTCTTTTTTTTACAGGAAAGATAGAAAAAGTGTAACTGGAAGCCTTGGACCCTATGCCTGTATCTTTCCTTTCCACAGCTAACTGTACCCAAGAATACCAACCACAGGCTTCTACTTTCGGTCTCGTCATTCATATTTGGAATGCGAGTCTAAACTACTAAGTATAAATCCTTCAAAGGGATAGAAAAATGCAAAAATTTAAAACTCCCACTTATTACCAGCGTTTTGCAAAATGAAAGCCATTCACTTGCAAAACATGTGGGTTGTTTCATGTATGCTACTTAGAAATATGATTAAGTACATGGTTAAGTCCCTTTTAATTGAATAGGGAATATACGAAAGCATTTTTATTTTTTTTGCATTGCCTTAGTGTAAGCAGAGTTTTAAAATTATTCTTTTTGTGTATTAGTGCTTAGTGTTTCTGTTTGAGTGAAATAAACTGTGACATAGACATTGCATCTTTTGGAAATTTCTTGCCTCAGTGAATGTTCCTTTTGTAACCATAAGATGGGGATAGAGTTAAGTGTCCCATTTATTTTTCTTCATGTGCAGGCTTCTATTTTATTAAATATGTTCTTTTTCTAGAATTAGCATTTTGCATTATGCTACTGGCAGTCATGATGTGTCCCAAGTTTTTATTGCTGACAGATGTGGGGCAATTAAGGGTTTCATTTTAAAGTTGTTCACATAAAGGAAGGAAACTACTTTCGAGCTTTCATGTATCTTGTTAATGAAGTCTGAGTAGAGAGAAGCTAAATGTTCTGTGTTTTGACAGCATCCTGAAGACATTTCATTTTCTACACTAACAAGTGTCATCCAATCATCCAGAGTAATTAATCAACAATGGGTGATTAACACTTCAGAGGTTATGGTTGACATAAAATCTGAATGTATATTTTAATTAATGCTGTGTTTAATAAGGCACTGGTTTCTGTATCTGTTGGAGAATAATTTTAGTATTGCATCTATAACATTGCATGTGACGTTGAATGAAAATTAACCTCCCCCTCAATATTGGAGGGGAGAAACTAAATTGTTACGTTGCCTGGCCCTGTAAATTCTTGGTGTTCTAGAGGAAATGTGCTATTACTACACACTTTTATGTGTAGTAATTTTGCAATGAAGGTAGAAGGCAAATGTTTTAAATAGCTACTCAGCCATTGGGATGTAATAAATATCCCTTGGGAAAGCCAAATCCAGGCAAATACATTATTGGAGAACTGCTGGAGTAAAATTCTTAACATAACATTAAAAAGAGCCCTGCTTAATCCAACCAAAGGCCTATCTAGGCCAGCATCTTATTTCTCAGTGGCCAGCTAAATACCTTTGGGAAGCCCATGATCAGGACAATAAAGGCAATAGTCCTCTCTCAGGATTGTTTCCCAGAGACTGTTATTCAGAGTTATGCTGCCTCTGTTTTTGGAAGTATTATGCAGTAGTAGTTGTCCTCCATGAACTTGTCAAGACCTGTTTTAAAGCCAAGTGCATAGCCCTCAACATATCCATAGCTGTCAACTTTTCCCTTTACTTGCGAGGAATCCCATTTGGAATAAGGGAATTTCCCTTTAAAAAATGGAAAAGTTTACATCTATGCATATCTTAGAGCGAATTCCATAGTTTCACCATGCTGCGTCAAGAAGTACTGCCTTATATCTTTTTAGAAGAAACTTAGTTGCTTGTATGGAGCTTTCATGTGAATTGTGCCTGTCTTCTTCATTTATCTGAGCTGCCTTTACTCTGCATCTTTTATATCTCAGTTTCTGAAGATATCCTATATCTTCATTTGCTGGATTTGCACCATGCTCACATTCCATGTGTCTTGGTATCTTGGTGGTATGTATGTAACACTTTGGTTTACGTACAAATGACTTTTGTATATTATTTCCAAAGGGTGTTTTTTTTAATGCTCATGTCAGAAAAAGGATCCTCTGCTGAGTGCTTCCTGTGCCAAAATAACCCTCACATTTTGTTGGTCATTCCTCAGGCAAATTAGGCCCCTTTAACGTTACTTTGGCAGTGTGAGAGATGCCTGGCTCTTTGTTGTGTCTTGAGGTTAATGTGAGAAAACCTTGACCATGTTGGAGGAGTCCAACCTGTGGGTCTTTTCAGTTTTAGTATTGCAAAAGCAGTACAGTAGGAAGGGTCTATATAATGAGAACTATCTAAGTGATACTTGACTGCACAATGATGCCGTGGATGCTGTCAAAACACAGGCGCTTTTCCATGTTCAGCATGCAGTGTTAAGTATGGTCACTAGGTGGTAAGAATCATTGACACTATTTCTAAAAGGAACTGCTCTTAAAAATGGCCCCACATGAGGATTTTACTAGTGTTACGATTTCTAGAACTTCAGCTCCTCATAGAAAGGGTCACATTTACAAACATGGGTTCCAGATAAAGTGGTTGAATAAATTAGCAGGAAGCTGGTATGTAACTTTTCTGCCAGTTGGTCAGGACAGTATATAAAAGTATAAACTAGCATGCCACAACAATGGTCTGTCTATGGTTACCCAAATTCCTAAGTATCTGTTCTTTTGGAAGAGCTGTTAACAGTTACAAAAGGAATTTCCAAATTCTTCCCACTACTTTCTTATAGAAATGGGAGATCAAGTGGCACACGTGCTGCCAAATTACATGTGATGTTGGTCGCATAGCTCTGCCTTTAACTGCAGTGTGTATGTTTGTGTGTGATTACAAATAGCCAGTACTAGGCCCACAGACCAGGTTGGAACTCTTGCATGCTGTTACCAGGCTTCAATCCTTTACCCCACCCACTGTGAGCCTGATCTGCATTGCAAAATAAAGAGGTCATTCCCCCCCCCTCAATTGGACCTATTTTTGCAAAAACACAGTTAACAGTTGCCCAGAACCTGATTGGAGTGGGCCCACAGCAGCAGACAGAGTTAAAGCCCCCACATCGCCATGCTGGCTTTTTGTTAGAGCCCCAGCTCTTAAGGATTGTGTCATGGGACTAATATGACATATATGTCTCCCCTTAAAACTACCATTTCTGTTAGCTTTTAATGAAAACAAAAGTATATCTAATAACAAGAAATCTTTAATTTCCTAGGAGCTCAAGAATATTGCAGCAATTGAGATTGTGATCAGCATATGTAGACTAACACTTTACTAAAATCCTCTTGAATATTGTATTTGAGGCACAATTTTATAGGAGACTATTTTGCATGTTCCTGTAAGTCAGGAAGCATATTGCTGCTGTTGTGTTGGATATTTGACCTTTCTTGACATGTTAGTAGTTAGTGTCAATTGCTTTGAACAAAATTCTAATCTTGGGATACATTTGTTATTTTGCTTTTGGCAAGACAGATAAGGGTGTTGTATGGACTTCAAATACTGGACCTGGAAAGCCAAGGCAAGAGGTTATTTTTTCTTATCTGTGTTTTAAGCAGTGACTAGAACTGCTCAGAACACTTTTATGACCTTTTGCAATGTCAAAACATGAAACAGAGGGGAGGATATCCTATGGTTTATAGTGTTAAGGGAATTACCTCACCAGCTTGAAAGGTCAATAGCTAATGAACACCAGAGAAGAGTGAGCTATTGGAACCCTGCAGTCTACACAGGACATAAAGCAATGCATCATAGCTTTTGGAATTTTTTTTAAGTGCCCCTTTTATTAGTAAACCCTTCTCTGAGTGCTTTCGGTAAGTTATTTTCCTTAAATTGTAGTTCATTTATTAGTTCCAAAAGAAATTAAAAGTTTGAAAATCAAACCTAGTTTTTAAGATAATAAAATTACCCCAAATGTATCCCTCCCATTCCCCTCCCTTCTTTTTTATTTTGAAGACAGTATGCCTTTGGGTAGGGGCCCTTTTGTTTCCTTCTCTATTTTAATTAGTTATTAATAATGTTGGAAGAGAATGAAAAGTCTGTACTTTATAGTGACTTCTGTTATGAGACACCAGAATAATAATCACTCTCAACATTGACATTAAGAGGCCTTTTTAGTCTTTTATTCTTAACATCTACAACTCAAGCAATATAATTTCTCATATTAGGAAGCAGCCATATAAATCAAGAGGCCAGAGGCTTTTGCTGAGCCGTACTTCTGATTTTGCATCTTAATTCTACGCTTGTGTCACAGATTAGGTTTACACTGAGAATCTTGCAGCTTCAATCCCCCAGAGATAGGCCTAGAGGCCAAATGCAGCCGTTCTGACAGTCCCATCTTTCCCATGGGCTTTTCCTCAGCCTCACCCACTCACCAGCTGCAGCCCTTCTCCGCAGACCACATCTACCGTAGGCCCTGCTTTGTACCCTCCTTGAAAATTTTGGCTGGATGCAATATGTCATTGAACTTTGGTAGTGCTGCTTGCTTCCATGAATGGAAGATACAGGGGTATGTGTAGTAACCAGCCAGCAATAAATCACACTGAATAAGTGAATTTAACTTTATTAGAAGAAGGAGGATTTGCTCGGGAATGCCAGGCCTAATGAGTACAGCAACTCTGCTGCAGTAGGTCTTGTCCCTGTGAGGCAGTTGTGGAGACTGAAGGTCCCCACCTTCCCACAGCTGCCTAAGACTTCTCATCTCCCAGGTCTTTCCCAAGCAATCTGAGACTACAGTGGGGTGGCTGCCTTTGCTCCTCCCGCTTCATACCTCTCCTGGTTCTGGGAAACCAGGCGGTAGGGGAGCTTGTCACTGCAGGAGGGGAGGAAACACCCTTGCTCCTTCACCTGCCTGATTCATCTCTGCCTCTTGGCCTCCTCCCCAGCCTCCACTTCTGCCTCTTGAGTCTGGAAGGCCCTCTGCCATCGCCCCTCCCAGCTTAATAAACCCTGCTACCTCTTCAGCTTCTGACATCATCTCCTCCATCCCGACACCAATCCCTGGGCTCTGAACTTTCTTTGCTTGTGGGTTCCCTGGCTGGTGCCTCCCACCAGTGCCCATCCAGTCCATGACATAACTAGTTTACTGCACAAAAGTAAAACGTTCATCATTGCCCACTGGTACTGCTCACCACTGGTATGTAGCCTGTAGAAAGTTACCCAGAAAGGAATGCAACTCTTGGGCTGAAAATCGTTCCCTATCTCTGCAGAAATCAGTCATAATAGGTAGTTGAAGGAACTCCTCTTGATTTGGACTGAATTTGGGAGGTGCTTGAAAATGTAACTTGTTTGCCTGAGTAGTTAGTTCCAGTTCCCCACTACAGTTCTTGTGGTGATTGGGTCTGTTGAGGTTCTCCTTGCTTCAGGTGCTTGTGCCTGGTTGATACGCAAAGCCAAAAAGATGGCTCTTGCCATCTTTATTCAAGATCTTTAGCAGACTTCACATCTTCATTTAATTCCCTTTGGGAATTTGTATTGGCAATGAAAATACCGTATTTTTCTGTGTATAAAACTAGGTTTCCCCCCTAAAAAGTAATGTCAAAAATTAGGGGGCGTCTTCTGCATGGGGGTGTCTTATAGACTGAAAAATTGGTATATCTC